AATGTTCTTTTTTTTGTACACATTAAGGTAACTAACTTGTTTTGTTAGTTCACATTTAGGTAATATGACCGGCTATCACCTGTTTTTGCTTATGTGGCATCCACCTGGCATTACGTTGCACCTACGTGGCATGGTGCATATATGGGAAAATGACTTATTAAGGTAACTAACTATTTCAATTGTCCATATATAGGTAATGTTCTTTTTTTTATACACATTAAGGTAACTAACTTGTTTTGTTTGTTCACATTTAGGTAATATGACCGACTATCACATGTTTTTGCTTATGTGGCATCCACCTGGCATATGACTTGAATACGTTACACCTACGTGGCATCCACCTGACATATGACTTGTTTTGTTTCTTCTTCCTCATCTTATTCTTCAAAACAACAAGATGAATTTCAAGCTGATCATCCATGTGATTGCGGCTTACCATCTCGTGTGAAGATTTCAAGAACTCCTGACAACCATGGAAGAAAATTTAGAGTTTTTCAAAACTCGATGGTAAATCAATATTGTTGAATATGTTGCAGGAGTTCTTGAAATCTTCACACGAGATGGTAAACCGCAATCGATGATCAGCTTGAAATTCATCTTGTCATTTTGAAGAATAAGATGAGGAAGAAGAAGCCATCATCGATCGATCTAGGGTTTAGAATTAGGGGTGGAATCGTATGACACAGTTATAGTGTAATCGAATGAAGACAAAATATGCACCATGCCATGTAGGTGCAACGTATTCAAGTCATATGCCAGGTGGATGCCACATAAGCAAAAACATGTGATAGCCAGTCATATTACCTAAATGTGAACAAACAAAACAAGTTAGTTACCTTAATGTGTACAAAAAAAAAGAACATTACCTATATATGGACAATTGAAATAGTTAGTTACCTTAATAAGTCATTTTCCCATATATGCACCATGCCACGTAGGTGCAACGTAATGCCAGGTGGATGCCACATAAGCAAAAACAGGTGATAGCCGGTCATATTACCTAAATGTGAACAAACAAAACAAGTTAGTTACCTTAATGTGTACAAAAAAAAGAACATTACCTATATATGGACAATTGAAATAGTTAGTTACCTAAATAAGTCATTTTCCCGTTCAGTTTATGAGGGTTATGAAAGAGTTAACACCTAGATCTAATTTTGATATTTGATTTTCTATTTACAACAGCGGACTAATATTTGTCATAAATTACAATCATACTGCTCTTCTTTTTAATAAAGAGTTATTGACAAAAATATATTTTTAAAAATCTACAAAAATTATAATTAGGAATTACAATGTTCTTAGAGTTCCTAACATTTAGCGGTACTCATTTGATCTTATATATATATATATATATATATATATATATATATATATATATATATATATATATATATATATATATATATATATATATATATAAGAGAGAGAGAGAGAGTTGTGGCCCCCCTAATTTTTTTTGGCAGAAATAACCTGTATACTTTACTTTTAGACATATTAAGTCAAAAAATATAAAATTTTGACTATGGCCCCCTCTGTTTGTTTTTATATATTTTTTTGGTGAACGAAACAAATGAATCATCAGATAAATAAAAAATAACATGATTCACAAAAAAATAAAAAATTCGCAAAAAAACATCTCGATGATTCATTTATACAAGGATTTTGATGTTATCCACTAAAATTGTTATAAAAGTGATTTTTTTTCTTATGAATCATATTACTTATGAATTATTTAGTGATTCATTTTAATTTTTCACTTAAATAATATGAAGAAAAAGAATTTCTTAAGAGTGGGCGAACCAATGAACTCCCTTTAACCAATAAACAATGTATCAATGAAATATATAAGGTTTTTTTAACCAAGTATGACATTTTATCAAATACTTCGATGAGAGTTTCCTTAATCCCTCCGCTAACATTCCAATTTCATCACAAAATCACATGAACAACCAGTTCCTTTATCTATTGATAAGATCGAACATTTGCTTTAAAATGATGTCGATGAAATTTACAACATTGATGTGTCTAATTTTTTTATCCTGATTTGTATGCTATTACCAATATATCATCAAATTACATATCCGAAGTATTCGAAGTTATAATTTGTCGTCTCAATTGGTGTATTTCCTCAATTTATCGGCATAGTGCACTTTGATTAAGTAACAAATAATTGTTTAAGGTAACTGAGAAAAAAAGATGCAACTTTAAGATTTAGAGAGAGGAAAAAGATGTATCTAAAAGATTTAATAACTAAATTAGACAAGGATATGAGATTATTCAAATATGACCAAGAGAAACCTTATTGTGGTAAGTCTTAAATTTTCTTAATGGGTTTGGAAACCTTTTTTTGTAATTGTGTAACACTGCATAATTCTCTTAATGGGTTTGGAAACCTTTTTTTTTTTTTTTTGTAATTGTGTAATTGTGTAACCTTTTTTGTTTGTAACACTGCATAATTCAAGGAAATTTAAAATTTTTGAAATCAACTATTAGTCAACATTTATAAAGTGAGTCATTGTTTCAAAAGCATTATTTCAAATAAAAGTTTTCACAAGACCCAGTGACATAAAACAGGAAGTTGTGTATGATCATGTCTTTGCCTTCACACGATCCCCAGAAGTACCTGAAACGATGTACTAAAAACTATAAGACACAGCTTAGTGAGTTCCCCCAAAGTACAAACACGCATACATATAACAACATATCTGGGTCCACAGCTAAAAGACATGATTTCCCATGAGCCCACAGTATGAGTCTGGTATGTCAATCGGTCCCTCAGCTCATATATGGATTGCTCCTGAGTTTGTTGGCCACCATACAAAGAAATTCAAACTCAAGACAACCGTACAATGTCGACATAAGCATAACAGATTGAACATATACTAGCAAACCGATAAACATGCATATCTTAACAGATCACTACAACATAACAACATTGTAACGACCCAAATTTTCAAATAAAAATTTCATTTTTAATTAACCAAAACATTCCCATAAAATATAAAATATCAATGACAATTGTTTTTAAAATGCATAACCTCAACATTTATTTCAAATATCAGAGTGTCCCATTGTGACATCCCTATTTTCACGGCCAGAAAAGACCGATTTTGTTTATGCTTTATAAAAATCAGAGTACCCCTTTTAATAAAAATATTGTGGAACTTGTTCCCAGTAAAACATGATAAATAGGTTATCAAATCATTTCCAAAGAAAAGTACTTTTATTCATTTTAAAATATTTGGGATGTCATCGTCAATAAAGAAACATAAGCATAAATAGAACTTACATTCATTATCACTAGTGATTTATATCTCCTTAATCTCTCGGTGTAATGTGACTTCATATCAACACCTGTGATATAAATAAACTGAGTGGGTCAGGTTGGGAAACACGGTGAGTACATAGGGTTTTCAACCCACAATAATATAATTATTATGTTTAATCAACAAACAGTTAACCCAATTACCCATCCCCATTATCTTCTTTTACTCTTAAGGATCTACCCTAGGAATCAGCTATTTCTCATTCATTCATTAGTAAGGATAATGTAGAATCTAAGAATCGAGTTTGAATATTAATTAGAGTTTTAAATTTAGAAATGTATGAAAGATTGAACACCGATGTAGATAAGATCTTGATTTAGCTCAATATTACGCTTTTAGGTTTATAGAGTGCAAAAGTAGACAAGACTGTAAAAACCTTATCTAACTCTAGTAAAGACTCCTATTTATAGGAGAATAAAAGCGTACAAAAATATACCAAGGACTAGATATCTAAGCTTTGAATAATATGCCTTAGGAAAATAGATAACAGAAAAGTACATATATGTAACGATCGTTTCCGAGGTATAAAAGTTATTTAAATTCTTCAGTTGTTTTTGGGCCATAATTGAATTAATATTATGAGTGGACCTTATTTTGGGACGAAGTGTAAGCAGCCCCATAAGACGTACGCGGGGCGTAACCCCCCCCCCCCCCTCTCTTGTACGATGGGCGTACTACTTAAATGAAACGCGAGGAGCCTGAGCGTACACGCAACGTACCTTATGGTACGCCCGACATACGCGACCAGGTGGCAAACCCTAATTTTAAGGGTTGAGGCGTATTTAAACCCCATTATAGCCTCCCATTTGGCCTCCTCACTTATCATTCACTCCAGAGAAACCCTAGTTCATCCCATTTTGCTCCTTGCTTGTGTGTGTTGATCTTTGAACTTATTTTGTGAATAAAAAAAACTCACTTTTAATATTTTATTAGTTTGGGCCTTTATTCCTTTTAATTTGGATTACACTTTACGAGCTTCACACTTAGAAATTGGACCATCACTGCACAGAGGCACAAACCACGTTTTTTTTCTTCCCAATTCAGTGATTCACAAATCAGAAATTCACAATCACGATTCACGAGTTCTCCATCCTAACCCTAGCCACTTCAAATCGTTCGATACTTCCGAATAGTTCCATTAGTTCCATGTTCGTCAATTGCAATATCTCGATCTAAATAGTGATTAGCTAGGAGTTGCGATTCTCACCAAGAGTTCCAATTTACTAGTTAGCGACTTCAATACTTCTTCTGGGAACGTCGATTTACCAGTTAGCCACTTCAAGACTTCCGATTTTAACAGGTTAGCTATTACTAGTCTCTTGCTCTTATTACATAACTACACTTGTTTTTTTTTTTCAATTTCTTCTTATAATCAATGTTAATGTGTAGTTTACTTCCGTTTCCAGATTTTGCTATGGATACTCATGATGAAAGCAATTCAGATTGTGAGTTCGTTTCTGAAAATGAAGTGACAACAACAGCCAAATGAAAAAGAAAACAAAACAAAAAACCACCAAAGCAGAAAAAATCTTCTAAACCACCACGTGCACCCAATGTAAGTGAATCTCCATCCATTCATACAAAGAAAAAAAGATCTCCATGGTGGGATCATTTTCAAGACACAGGAGTTCCTGATGTAGCAGAGTGTATTCATTTCCATAGACACATAGGATGTGCTACTGTAAATGGAACTGCCCCTTTGAAAACCATGCTACTAATTGCAAAAAAAATCCCAATAACATCGATAAAAGACAAAAACTGCTTGATCTTGAGTCTAGAACACATCGTAGTGATGATGGTTCGATTGAAACCGTAACAATTCCTAGGTTAAGGGAGTTTAATCAAGATGTTATAAGGAAAGCTCTTTCAAATATGTTGGTAGTTGATGAATTGCCTTTCTCTTTTGTGGAACGTGAGGGTTTCTGTAAATTTTGCAAGGTTATTAATCCACATTTTGTTGTTCCTTCACGTTCGACAACAACTAGAGAATTCTATAGTTTTTTTATTGATGAAAGGAAAAAGTTATCAAATATCTTCCAAAATTTATCTTCTCGAGTATGCCTTACCACTGATACATGGACTTCAGGTCAAAATTTAAGCTATATGTGCTTAACTGCATATTTTATTGACAATGATTGGCATTTACATAAAAGAATAATAAATTTTTTGTCCGATAGTTGGTCATACTGGGGTACTAATTGGAAGGGCTGTTGAAACATGTTTAACTGAATGGGGGCTGAAAAATATCTTGATTGTAACAGTGGATAATGCTAGCTCAAATGATGTAGCTATCAACCATTTGATAAAAGTTCTAAACCATTGGGATTGTGGTGTCTTGAAAGGGGCATTTTTACATATGAGATGTGCAGCTCACGTCTTAAACTTGGTAGTTAGAGATGGGTTAATGGAAGTGAACTCTTGTGTGAAAAAAATACGTGCTCTTGTAAAGTATGTGAGATCGTCTCCTGCAAGGCTTCAAAAATTCAAAGCTTCTATGCAAGAAGAAAAAATAGAAAGTAAGAGTCTTGTGCCTATGGATGTTGATACACGGTGGAACTCAACTTTTTTGATGCTCAAGAGTGCAATAAAATTTAGAAAGGCATTCTCAAACTTACTTCTAAAAGATTCTAATTGTGCAAAAGAGCTTAAAAAATGTGAGGGTGGTTTAATTAGTGATGAAGATTGGGTTAATGTAAGTAGTTTATTGCCTTTTTTGAAGATATTTTATGATGCTACAAAAAGGTTTTCGGGTTCTAGATATGTGACTTCAAATGCTTATATCCATGATATTTTTGGAATCGGTAATGTGATTGATGGAGTTACTAAGCATGTTGATGAGTCCATTAAGAGCATGGCACTTAAAATGCAAATAAAATACAAAAAGTATTGGGGGGATGTAGAGAAACTAAATCAGTTTTTGTTTATTGGAGTAGTTCTTGACCCACGACGCAAATGGCAATATATTGTATGGGTGATGGAAGAAAACTTCGGGAAAGAAAGAGCGGAGAGTTTTCTTTCAAAACTAGATTTCAACATGCGTGCGTTATTCAATCTCTACAATTCTTCCATGCCTCAAAAAGAAAAGGATGAAGAGGTGTCATCTACTACTACTAATGCTAGTCCTAGTTCAATGTGGGGGCACGAGGTAGTGATGGATATTGAAGAACTTATGACCAAAAGGTTTGAAATGGCAATGGGGAGTTCCGAAACCATTTTGAAAAAAACAGAATTAGACAAATATCTAAGTGAAGATCGTGAACCTATGGATGTCAATTTTGACATATTGACATGGTGGAAAGTTCAACAATGTAGATATCCAATTCTTGCAAAGATGGCCCATGATATGCTTGCTATTCCAATTTCTATGGTTGCCTCCGAGTCGGCTTTTAGCAACGGAGGACGAGTGCTTGATGATTTTCGAACATGTTTAACTTCTAAAATGGTGGAAGCATTAGTTTGTACACAAGATTGGGTACGAGAGTCTCATGAGCCCATTAATATTAATGACATATTACTTGAAGTAGAGAAAATGGAAGATGAAGGTTAGTCTTAAATTCCAATCATATATTTGTTTGTATCTTTCCATTTTAATATTTTTCTTTTTTAATTTTTTTCACAGGTTTGAAAGATTTGACCATGGAGCAACCTACCATCATAATTGATGAAACAGTTGATGAACTAACCGAAAGATTGGGTATGAATTAATTAATGTTTATCGCCTTTTAGATTTTGTTTTATGTTTGTACTTATGTTTAACTTCTAATTTTTGGTTGTATGTTTCTGCCATGATCAGATGAATGGGGATTTTCAGATTTGTAATTTAAAGAAGGTAAGTATTCTGTCATGTTTGAAGAAGGTAACTATCCATATTTTCAGATTATATATGTTTTTGCCCGGAATAACAACTTACTTTGTTGATTTTTTTTTAAATATTAAAAGTGTGAAAAAATGTGCACAATTAATCCAAACAATGCATTGTTTACTTGTAGATACAGGATTGCTTTTTGGACAATGAATGCTAGAATGGAGGTGAATAGAATGTTTCTGGAAAGATGCTTTATTAACTGAAGTGATTTTTGCTTTTTGGTTCCTTGGTGGTAGTGTGGAACAATGAATGCTTTAGGAATTGTTAATTTGTGGTTTAAAATTTGAACTTTAGATGTGTAATTTGTGATTTAAACTTTAAACTTTAGATTTCTAACTTGTGGTTCAAACTTTAAATTTTAAATTTGTATTGTAATCGTGTATTTTTTATGTCATGGCCACATGGGAATGGATGCTTTAGGAAGCTTTATTTAGACAATTATTAATACATAAGTTTCTTATAATGGTTTACCATATTTTTTAATTAATTGGTTTACATTTTTACAATAACAAAAAATAAGGATGTGTTTTTGGATATCCGAATCGGTATCCGTATCCGTATCCGAAAATTCGGATATTTGAATTTTCGGATACGGATACAGATACCAATATTTACTATCCGAAATGTTCGGATATCCGAAATTCGGATATTCGAATTTTCGGATATCCGGTTATGAACACCCCTAGCTCCTGCTACTTTGAGGATTACAGATGGCCGTCAGGGCCGAGCTGAGACGCCGATGGAAAAGAGTAGGGCTTTTCAGCTGACGATAGAGGAGGCACGAGCGACTCCTGACGTGGTGACGGGTATGTATTTTTTCCCTTATCTCTGCATGTATTATTGATTGTTTCTTTTGGTTATATGTTTTGTATAGGGTCATTCTCAGTGAACGACATTTCAGCTTCAGTGTTGTTTGATTCGGGGGCTACCCGATCATTCGTCTCTTTTGCGCTTAGCAAGAGGTTTAGCAGAGCTCCTGGAGAGCTAGATTGTCCACTTGAGGTTGAGATAGTAGCTGATAGGACCGTTAGGGTCGCAAGGGTGCACAGAGGATGTTCTCTACAGTTGTTCGATGAGCAGTTTCCGGTAGACTTGGTCCTTATTCCCTTGCGAGGGAATAAAGTCATATTGGGCATGGATTGGCTGAGCCCCAATGCGGCGGTGATAGATTGTGAGTTGTAGTTGGTGAGGGTTCGCACTCCCAGTGGGGGAGAGTTAGTGATTCAGGGTGAGAGACCACAGTGTGGACCAGTTTTGTGTTCAGCAGCGAGGGCGAGGCGCTATTTCCAGCAAGGTTGCATCAGTTATGTTGCCTATGTTGTAGATGCTCGGGAGAAGGGCAGGATGACGATTGATGATGTTCCAGTAGTGCGAGACTACCCGGATGTATTTCCAGAGGAATTGCCTGGAATACCTCCCGAGAGGTAGCTCGAGTTTATGATTGACATGATCCCTGGTGCGGCTCCGATAGCCAAAGCACCGTATCGATTGGCTCCCCCAGAGATGCAGGAGTTATCTACGCAGCTACAAGAGCTACTAGACAAGGGTTTCATCAGGCCGAGCAGTTCGCCCTAGGGTGCACCGATTTTTTTTGTAAAGAAAAAGGATGGGTCGCACCGTATGTGTATAAATTACCGGAAACTGAATAAGGTAACGGTAAAGAACCGTTACCCACTTCCGAGGATAGATGATTTGTTTGATCAGCTACAGGGAGGGTCTTTGTTTTCCAAGATCGATTTACGCTCCGAGTATCATCAGATGAGAGTCATAGGTGAGGATATGCTGAAGACTGCTTTCAGGACCCGGTATGATCATTATGAGTTTGTGGTGATACCGTTTGGGCTCACCAACGCTCCAGCAACGTTCATGGATCTCATGAACCATGTGTGCAGGTCGATACTGGATCGGTCTGTAATAGTATTCATAGATGATAGCTTGGTTTATTCCAAAACTCAGGAGCAGCATGAGGAGCATCTGAGAGAGGTGCTAGAGATTTTGAGGAAAAAGAGACTTTTTGCAAAGTTCTCCAAGTGCGAGTTTTGGTTGCGCGAGGTGCAATTCCTTGGGCATCTCGTCAACCAGAAGGGTATTTTGGTAGATCCGGACAAGATAGAGGCCGTGATGCAGTGGGAGGTCCCGAGATCTCCATCCGAGATTCGGTGCTTCCTAGGTTTGGCAGGATATTACAGGAGATTCATCAAAGATTTCTCCAAGATAGCAGTACCGCTTACCCGACTGACCAAGAAGTCGGTAGTGTTTCGCTGGGGGCCTGAGCAGCAGGCAGCATTCGAGACCCTCAGGCGGAAATTGTGCGAGGCACTGATTCTTACCCTGCCAGAGGGAGTAGAGGATTTTGTAGTCTACTGTGATGCTTCGATCGCAGGTATGAGATCAGTGTTGATGCAGCGAGGCCGTGTGATAGCTTACGCCTCGAGACAGTTGAAGCCTCACGAGGCTAACTATCCTACGCATGATTTAGAGATGGGGGCAGTGGTGTTTGCCCTAAAGATTTGGAGACATTACCTCTATGGGGTCCGTTGCACCATTTCCACGGATCACAAGAGCTTGAGGTACCTCATGGACCAGTTGAACCTGAACATGAGGCAGAGGCGATGGTTAGATGTGCTGAAGGATTTCGACTGTGAGATCCTTTATCACCCAGGGAAGGCCAACGTAGTGGCCGACACCCTGAGCCGCAAGGCAGCAATAGCCTCGATTAGAGACATTTGTTTGAGGATGACAGTGATTACTCCATTGCTAGAGCAAGTTAAAGAGGCACAGGCCGAGGGCCTCAACGAGGAGATGCAGAAGTGTGAGAGAATCGTGGGCCGAGTAGCTTCCTTTGACTATGATAGTTGAGGATTGTTGACCCTTCATGGGAGGGTCTAGGTGTCGTACTGGGGTGGAGTACGGAAAGTGCTGATGGACGAGGCTCATAAGTCTCGATTCTCCATCCATCCAGGGGCAACAAAGATGTATAGAGATCTTAGACCCGATTATTGGTGGCCCTGCATGAAACGGGATGTGGCCTGGTATGTGGAAAGATGCCTGACCTATAGGAAGGTTAAGGCAGAGCACCAGAGACCCCACGACAAGATGCAGCCGTTAGACATTCCTGTGTGGAAATGGGAGGACATCACCATGGATTTCATCACTAAGCTTCCCAGGACCGCTCGAGGAGTGGACGCGATTTGGGTTATAGTGGATCGGTTGACGAAGAGTGCTCATTTTATACCGATCCAGGAGAGCATATCAGATGAGAAGCTAGCCGATATTTATGTACGAGAGGTGGTGGCATGACATGGGGTGCCTGTTTCAGTGGTGTCAGACCGAGATGTCCGTTTTACCTCCAGATTTTGGAAGCGATTTCATGAGGAGATGGGTACTCATCTCCATTTCAGCACCGCTTTCCACCCCCAAACGGACGGATAGAGTGAGAAGACGATTCAGACCCTAGAGGACATGCTTTGGGCATGTGTCCAAGATATCGGTGGTAGTTGGAATACTTATCTTCCGTTAGCTGCATTTTCGTATAACAATAGTTTCCATGCGATTATTGACCAAACTCCCTTTGAGATGCTTTATGGGAGGAAGTGTAGGACCTCGATTTGTTGGGGCGAGGTCGGTCAGTGTGTCATTGGGAGCACCGAAGTGGTGATCAAGACTACAGAATTGATCCAGCACGTACGCAGTAGACTGCAGAGTACACAGAGTCGGCATAAGAGTTACGCCGACAGGAGGCGCTCAGACTTGGAGTTTCAGGAAGGCGACATGGTCCTCCTGAAGGTATCACCTTGGAAGGGTGTCATCAGGTTTCGGAAAAGGGGTAAGCTGGGCCCCAGGTTCATTGGTCCGTTTAGGGTTTTGGCCCGGGTGGGTCGAGTTGCTTATCGGTTGGACCTTCCGACAGAGCTTAGCCAAATCCACAACACTTTCTATGTGTCCTAGTTGAGGAAGTGTTTGGTGGATGAGTCAGCAATTGTTCCCTTAGAAGAAATTCAGGTTGATATCAGCCTGAACTATATTGAGGGGCCGGTCGCGATTCTAGACCGGAAGACAAAGGCCTTGAGGAACAAGGTAATTCAGCTATTGAAGTGCATTGGTAGCACCAGAAGGGTTCAGAGTGGACGTGGTAATCAGAGGAGGAAATGCAGGAGCATTACCCGGAGTTATTTTCAGATTCAGTAGTAGCAGACTTCGAGGACGAAGTCTGATTCAAGTGGGAGAGATTTGTAACGATCGTTTTCCGAGGTATAAATTTATTTAATTGTCAAGTTTTATTTTAGGCTATAATAGATTTAATTATGAGAGTGGGCCTTTTGTTGGGCCAAGTTATAGCATGCCCATAAGTCGTACGCGGGGCGTAACCCATTGTACGCTGGGCGTAAGGACTAAATGAAATGCGAGGAGGAGAGGCGTACACGCAGCATACCATAGTGTACGCCCATCGTATGCGGCTAGAGGAAAAACCCTAATTTTAGGGTTTGAGATGTATTTAAACCCCATTATAGCCTCCCATTTGGCCTCGTCACTTGTCATTCACCCCAGAGAAACCATAATTCGTCCCCTTTGCTCCTTGCTTTTGAGTGTTTGATCTTTGAGCTTATTTTTGTGAAGAAGAAGAAGAGAAGTGGAAGAAGGAGAACTTGAGTACCTTGAGCTCATAGATCTAGGATCATTCCTTCATTTGGCATTCAAAAGAGGTATAAATCTTTCAACTTTCCTCTTGTGAGTTTAGATCTAGGAGTTTTGGAAGTTTGGACCTTTTTAGGTCCAAAGGAGGGACCTTTATCTTGCAACTTCGTTTTTGGAGCTTGGGATTGCTATCCTTGAAGCTCAAGTGTCCCCATAGCAGTAAAGTTTCGATCTTTGAGGCTTATTTGAAACCATGCATGAGATCTAGTTGGTTTTATGGAAGTAGAATGTTATTTGTGAGAGTTTGAGCCTTTATGAG